TGTTGAAAGCATTAAAAATTAAAAAAAAATCATATTAAAACATTATTATAAACTTGTGGAGATGTGAAATCAATTTCTCTTATGGAGCTGAAGGTTCCGATGTGCGGCAGATCATTTGAATCCACGTTGTCTTAGTCTCTCGTGGTGTGGATGTTATTCTCCAAGATTTGTGCTGTTTTGTGTTGTGTTCTGTTCTGTTGTGGACCTGGCGGTTCTTTCACTATGTTAATTTTGTGTGCTAAATAACGTCTTAGATATAAGTAGTGATGTATTGTTATCTCAGTATGTAGGTGCGTTGTGTCTTGTCTATTTTACGAGTAACTCTTCATTCGCATTATAAAATCCTATATTCCTAATACACAACACCTTTAATTACATTACTGATATTTTAAATACAAATTCTTGTATTCGCTAATATTTCTAACATTTTTTTATATTGTAATTTTCACCGTAGCACAAGGCCCAGTTTTCTACAACTTTTACAATAGGGACGCGTTGCACCACAATATGGATCCATATCGACATTTCGATGAATTTTATCATATTTTATTTTAACCACTTCCTGATGATGGTCCCATGAGGACCGAAACAGGTAGCGTTAAACAATAAAATTCAATGTATGAGATATTGATTTAATTGTGATATTTCCCTTGCATAGTTGGTTGAGGGGCTATGCTACAAGCAGGAAGGTCGCGGGTTCAAATCCCGATGAGGTCTTTTTTTTTCAGTTGACCTAATCCTTCCGGCCGCACTGTGGCCCTGGGGTTGACTCAGTCTCTAACAGAAATGAGTACCAGGAATTAATTAAATAATTTTCCTGGGAAGGAAAGCGCGGCCGGCGCATAAGGCTGACAATTAATTATCTAAGTAAAAAAATTAATTCGTAATTTAGATTTTCCTCCCTGGGAGTTGTCGCAAGTTATATCGAGGGTGTTGCTCAGTGCCTTCCTCGCGTTCCGGGACGTTCCCTGTTTCGGGTAATCCGCTCGGGCGGGGCTCGGCGTCCGTTTCCTCGGGGTCACTACCTTCACCCTCTCTTTCTGTCGGGGTCTCATCGGACGTCACTGTGTCTTCCCCTTGCCTACGCCGTAACCAGTACCTAGCCCCCGTTTCCCTTCCGGTGTCGGGTGTCTGGTCGGCGGCTCTCTGGACCTCCTGATGTCTACTTGGTTCCCAGGTGGGGTCCTGACTTCGATCCTCGGTCCTCTCGCCTGTCAAAGTGGTTGGCGTAAAGTCGAAGCTACCATCATCCTCCTCGTGATCATGGGAGGCGAGTGGAGTTATTCCCTCATCATTCGCCTCATCCTGACCTTCGTCTCTTTCCTGAACCCTTACCGGGATATCCCTTGTCCCACTTGGCGCGGGGACAGTTTTCACGCAACATTTCTTCATTTTGTTAACATTTACCACCAGCTCCTTCTTTTGGGATACTCGCACAAGATAATTCAAATCGGACAATCTACGTACCACCTCGTAAGGGCCCCTCCACCTAAGCCTAAATTTTGGACAACCACGTTTGACCTTGCTCATCTGACGAAGATAAACCATTTCACCGGGTTGAAAAATAACTAATCTCGTTCCCTTATCATACCATTCCTTCTGCCTCTCTCTGCCCACCTTATTATTTTCCCTTACAACACGGTACGCCTCCTCGAGGCGGTCAGCCAAAGTGTCAATGTGGTCCTGAATCAAACTACGGTTATCTTTCGGTTCCCCCTTTAAAAATTTTCCAGTAGTGAGGTCATCCTCCATGGGAAGGCGCATCTGACGTCCGTGTAGCAAGTAAAACGGACTGTATCGAGTAATGGAATGAGGAATGGCCCTATGGACCATCAGGGCGTAGTTCACGAACTCATCCCAGTCATTCCCATACTTATTTACATAGTGGCTCATGGTTTGGTTGAGTCCCAGATGAAATTTCTCAACCTTGCCTTGCATCTGCGGATTGAACGCAGTGGAGTTAATTCTTTTCACCTGCAGCAGCTTGCACATCTCCTGGAAAAGTTCCGACATGAAGTTGGATCCTTTATCCGATGATAGAGACTGAGGACAACCCAACCGTGAAAATATCTCCGTAACAAGAGCCCGTGCAACTGTCGGAGCGTCTTGCCGTGGTATGGGGATAGCTTCCGGATAACGGCTAAAGTGGTCTATGAAAGTAAGAAGGTACCGATTTCCCCTCTTTGTTTCTGGATAAGGGCCACATATATCTATAGAGGTCATTTCGAATGGGGAAGTCGTCTCAGGTAACTCTCCCAAGGGTGCAGTGGGGTGTCGCCCTACCTTAAACTTGGCACACGATTCGCACTGCCTCACGTACGTTTCCACATCCCGGTCCATATTGGGCCAAAAGTAGTTAAGTTTAATTAAGTCTCGGGTCCGTTTCACTCCCTGATGCCCTGCAAACACCTTATCGTGATTCATTTCGATAATGGGCTGTATTAAGTTATGAGGTACAACCAACTTTCCGTTTTCCAAATTTGGTCCCGCGTACAGAAGCCCATCGTCACTCATAAAGAATTTTGACCCCGTATCTGTACTAATTTCATCCATTATTTCTTTACAATACGGATCCTGTTGCTGTCCCGTGTAAACAGTCTTACGAGTGAGGGCTTCGCCTGACTCGGCACTTTGACATCTCCGGCTTGCGGCTCCTGTAGCAACGGAAGCAATATATCGCGATAGGCAGTCCGCATTTACATGCTTCTTGCCTGCCTTGTGTTCAATTTCAAAATCATATTCAGATAATTTGAGAACCCATCTAGTCAATCGGGCACAATGATGGTTCTTCACCGTGATCAGCCACTTAAGGGCGGCATGATCGGTAACAATTTTGAATTTTCTCCCATATAGAAAACACCTATGTATTTGTGTACCAAATACAACAGCTAGTAACTCCTTCTGAGTCGTACTGTAATTTCTTTCCGCAGCATTGAGCATACGGCTAGCAAAGCTGATAGGCCGTTCCTTCCCATTCTGCAGCTGACTGAAAATGGCAGAAATAGCATAATCAGAAGCATCTGTACTAAGAATAAATTGCTGATCAAACCGAGGGTGCGCCAGCACCGATTCGGATGTCAGGGCGGCCTTGAGATCATCGAAGGCCAGTTGCTGGGAATCTGTCCAAACAAACTTCTCGTCTTTTCTCGTTAGTTGTGTTAAGGGCCGACTCATGGCTGCGTAATTTCTTATAAAAGCCCTATAATATCCGGATAGGCCTAAAAATGAGCGGACATCTTTCACCGTTCTTGGCCGTGGGAATTCTCTGATGGCTGTAACTTTACTCGGGTCTGGCGCAACGCCGTTGCTATTAACAACATGACCGAGATATACCACCTCCGGAACTGCGAAAGTGCATTTGGCGACGCTTAATTTGAAATTCGCCTCTCGCACGCGTTCAAACACCAACTTCATTCGTCTCATGTGATCTTCAATCGTTTCACTGAACAGCAACAAGTCATCCAAATATACGAGTACCTCTACGTCACGCAAACCCCCCAACATGGCATCCATGACGCGTTGAAATGTCGAAGGGGCGCCTGAAAGACCAAAGGCCATTTTCTCAAACCTAAAACTGCCGAATGGGGTGACGAATCCGGTCTTATCCTTATCCTCCTCACGTATAGGAATATTCCGATACCCATTTTCGATGTCCAATAACGTGAAATATCTACTCCCCGCCATAAGTGAGATGTTGCTCTTGATATCAGGTATGGGGTACACTGGTGTACTCGTCACTGAATTTAACCCTCGAAAATCGGTACAAAATCTATATTTTGGAATTCCGTCCGGTGATTTCTTGGGGACTAAAATCACTGGCGCCGCTCACGGCGAAGCGCAGGGAGTAATAACCCCTTTAGCCAACATCTCATCTAGCTGGTGTCTCATCTCCTCCCTTAATGCATAGGGTACACGATATAGGTTCTTCTTAATAGGCAGGGCGTCCCCTGTCCGAATCTCGTGATAGCCCTTCGTCGTACTGGGTAGCACCCCTGTGCTGTCGTTACAAAATAAATCTAAATATTCTTCAAGCACTGGTATCAAGACTTGTTTATCTTTTTCGGACAAGTGATCTAACTTCTGCTCTAGTTTCTCCCTTACTTCCCTGAGTTCCTGAGCATCTCTTGTGCTAACGGAACTAACCCGGAAGTTCGCCGTTCCCTTCCTCCCCGGGTAGCGAAAATCAACTCCTGCTTGCTCGGGTGGAATCTCCCCGAGCGGCTCGGCCTATCCCAAGCATATATTCTTCCCCAAATCCAAATATTGACCACGGGTACCTTTAGTACGCAGTACCTAGGCCCGTTATCCTCTCGTACGGTCATGACCCTATCGACCCTCTCACTCCTTCCACTGGTACCCGATTTCCTGCCATTTCCGCCTAGGCTTCGCATTTCCTCCAATTCTCCTGCAGTAAAAATCCGGCTCGCTACTCGAGCCACGTACGCACCAGGCGTACCTAATCCCAAGGGCTCAATTAATATCTCCCGGGGCAACTCCACCCCTTTACTCTTCCCTATTTTCCCTATTACCAGTCCCTCAGACAACGGGGGGATGACGATTGGCTCCTGAGCCACCACGTTCCAACAATCTATACAGGATCCTCCCGGGCTCAACCCTGGGGTAGGTACTTCAATCGGTCCACCCGAAGGCGTCAACCTTGGGCTGGCCAAGCCCGCTGGTGACACCCTCTGTGTCGTCCGGCATTGGCGGTGGACTGGCGCACACCGCCCGACCTCCTGTCCTGATAATTGATGGTGCGTCCGTCCTAGGACTAGCGTGTCGGTTCGTGAATCGATACACGCCCCCATCCGTCTGAGGACATCAGCCCCTAGAACACCACTATATTCCGTATCTAGGGGGCTATCAAAAACTCGTGGGTAAACATCTTTTTCCCCACCCGAAATGTTATCAACTGCGCTCCTACTATTTGCAATTTAGCTCCCGTGACCCCTCTTGCGGCTGTCCGTGTAGCACGAATATCTGACGTATTAATGCCCGGCTTCATCACGCTCAGGCTGGCTCCTGAATCTACTAACACCTGGTGGAAACTTCCTTCTATTTCTATTTCTAGCAACAACTCTGGGCCAGTAATTCCTACGTGCGACCGACCTACCGTCGTGCACTCTATTGCTGGTTCGACGCTGGGGATCTGGACGTCGAACCCTGACCGTTTGGGTGCTGGGCAGCTCGAGAAAATTTTGGGCAGTCTCTGCGTCTATGCCCAAACTCATTACAATGGAAGCACTGGATGCCTGACGAGCGAGTGTCCTCAGGTGGGCCCCAAGGCCGCGCTGGTCCCCGAAAGCTTTGCCTGCCTGATCCGACCCTTCCTCTACCTCCTCGAGTGAGCAGAAGGTCGCGGGAGGGTGGGTCCCTCCGCCTAGAGCTCTGATCTCGCCACGACCTCCGACCTGACGTCATGGAGGGGGTTTCTTGTCGGCAATCCCTAGCATAATGCCCTCTTTTCCCGCAACGGAAACATTCAACGTCGCTCCTAGCGGTAAATACCTTCTTGACTCCTTCGGTTAGCTGTTTGTGTTTCTCCACGTTTTCTACTGTGACCGCTAACCTCACCGCCTGCTCCATCGTGCTGGGCATCTGAAATTGTACTTGTTGCCCCACTATGCCCCTAAGACCGTGAACATAGGCTGCCAACAATCTACGTTCCGCCTCCTCATTAATTATACGCTGGGTCCCTTCGTCGTTAACCTTCCTGATGGTTCTTTGACACATCTTCCTACAACGGTCACTGAACTCCTCCGCGCTTTCGTTCTTCCCCTGAACCGCGTCCTGTAGTCTAGTATAGTAATACTGGTCAGGGAGCTTGTCACTGAACCTCTCAATCAGTGCCTGCCTCAGAACTTCGTAGGAACATCCATCTCGACCTAGCTCTTCCCTTCCATTCAAGAACTGCAGGGCCAACCCTTGCAATTTGGCCTTAACAATGAAAGCTTTATCGTGGCTAGTCCATCCACTCACCTTGGCCAATGTCTCTATCTGCGTTAAAAACTCGTATACAGATCTCCCCTTACTTTCCCCCGTCCATTCCTTTATCCCGGCTACAAGTGAAACGTCCTTGCTCTGCCCTCTGTGGGCCTCCCCAATTCTGAGGGTTTCCAACTGAACCCGTAGTTCCTCCATCTGTGCTTGGAGAACCTCCATTTCCCCCACACGAGCCATGCTTCACGCCAAAGGGCCAACGTGTACCTACTGTAAGCTAAACTATGTTCGTAGGTGTCCCACAATTTCCTTTCAAAAGCAATTCTCAATGAAGTTCGACCACTCACTGCTTAAATTTATAAACATATGCATCTTCCCTTGAAAATAATTTTAATAAAAATTAAAATAAGTCACAGCGCCACGGCAAACATATTTGATCCCTACAAATCCGTATGTCTAGTTACGGCAACACATAAATCAAAACACTGCCACTTAAACTTGTGGGTGGTTAAAAGTTATCCACGTTTCCTAAAATTTCTTAACCATCTCCGGTGCGTAAGCCCGGTAATTCGAGCAGAATAACAACATCGCGCCGCTTGCCACCAATTTGTTGTGCCCTGATAGGGGGCAGTGACTGTACTCACCCCCTATCGGACGCCCGTGGATATCACTTAACCTATGCTGTGGAAAACATGCTTCACTAGGAGGGTCACAAAAACTCGAGTTCTCCAAACAACAACAGAAATGGAATATATAATCAAATTAAAACACTTATACACCTCTAAAATTCTAAAAACACATTAACCCACCAAAATAATTGAAACCAGAAGTTCTAATAAGCCATCAGTGACCCGACCACGGGCAAGTACTCACTCGCGCTAAACATGATGCACATGAAAAACACTGGCGCCATCCCAAGGTTTTCCACAGGCACACTTTGCTTTACTCGTTCGTTTCTGGCAACTGCTAGAAACAGAGTGCCTGAAACGGCCTGTTTTCCCAATTCCAAGATTCAACTTTTTCCCAAGTTGCGAAAGCTGCGCGTGCGAAATCGCTGAGGTCGGCATCTTGCCGGACATGCCTTGTCGCGCTAAGCGAAACCTGACCGGGTCTCTCCACTGATGCTTAAACAGTCTTTTCTAAAGACAATTCGATCGACTGCCAAGGAATGCGAAGAGTCAGCCGCGGTTCTGTCTCCTTGCCTTCCGGCCAACCGTCTAACATTTCAACCTAAGCACACAATCTTACAAAAATTATACTTAATAACTAATGAAATGGGCTCAACCAGCTTTCAATTTCCACAGCGAGATGGCTCCACTTGTCATATTAAACAAATGTCGCAGGACCTTGAATGTTCACGAGTTGTAAGACGCGACTTTATTATGATGCCGGTGCTAAAAGAGAAGGGGATTTTTTTTTTCTCTTTAAGAGGATTAGAGGTGGAAATGAATTTCTGTAAAAATAAATCTCGTAGCTGCAAAACCTTGGCAGGAAATGACTTGTTGTGACGACTGTTTACGTTTCCGCGTGACTCGTTCCTGTGTTGCGGATCCGGTACAAGGGAGAATAACAGCGTTACTGTTTCTTGGCGTTGGAGAGACGGGGGACGCTCCACCAGTCTGTGGTTTGAGAGAAATGGAAAGTCAGGACGGCAGTCTGGTATACCGAGAATTTTCACGTGACGTCTCTTTTAACGACGCTGAGAACACTGAGACTATAACGGTACGATAGATGAATAATGACTTGGGGGAAAAACGTAAAGCAATCCTTGTAACAGGCTGTGGAGGCTCATAGGTTGTGAGACGTCGAGGCTCCCACATTTTCTAGATAGTCGGCTCACAGATGGCGGTGAGGTCGTTAGCCTTACGCACCGGCCGACCCTTACTCTCAGGAAGATACCTGGTACTCATTTCTGTTAGAGGCGGAGTCGACCCCAGGACCATTAGGTCAATTGAAGAAAACCAGTGATCTCATCGGGAATCGAACCCGCGACTTTCCGGCTTGTAGCATAGTGCCTCAAGCAATACGCCACCGCGTGTCCTCAATGAACTGGAAAGGACTTAGAATGAAGATGTCCTGAGTGAGGAATTGTATGGTTATCCTCAGCCTCCTGAGGCTTGTGCCGGGGGGGGGGCACTCATCTTACCACCACTTCCCCTAAATTGTTGAGGGAAAAATATCGAAGTTGTAAAATAGAGGAAAAGGTAAAATTCTCCCTGTACTTAACTAATTAAGCACTACATCATGAAGGCGTATGGGGGAGTGGATGTATTGATCCACATTTTCTTGACCTCGGCACTAGTTGGAGGTGAGTGGTCAGCTTCACGCCCTTACCACTTTACTCATGGAGAAGAGCCCTCGTTACCCGTTTGACAGAAGGTTGGGTGGGCCCCAGAGCCGATCTGGACGGCGTGAACAGAAAATTCTTGACTCTACCTGGACTCGAACTCTGTAGGGTCAAGAATTTATAGCGACGGGCCACGGGCTGAAGAGCTGGGTTTCGATTCCTGGCAAGGGAAAGACTTTTTTCTTCTCAAAATCGTCCAAACCGGACCTGGGGCCCAACGAACCTCCTATCCAATGGGTACCGGGGGCTCTTTCGTCGGGGTCAAGAATGGTGAAGCTATACCTCCACTCCCCCATACGTCTTCATGACATAGTGCTTAATTAATTAAGCACAGGGACAACTTCACCTTTTTACGGATATATCAGCGATACCTGTGGAAGGCGTTACACAAAGTACAGTTAATACATAAATAAATCAACAGCTATACTAACTCAGAATTAGAATTGAAACTTTGTAGGGTGGTGCTGTACCCCCCTCCCTCGCCTACAGCCCGCATTTTTATTCCGGGCTTTAGTTTCCAACATGTTCCATGTTATAGCAGCTCTGTCCCTCTCGCTCTTACGAGCACACGTGTTCCCTGACATAATGCTGTCCAAACTGCAGAAACCTGAATAAACACAGTAAAATACGAAGCGGGTTGTCTAACTGCAGGGTAAACATTGGAGGAGATTAGTTTAGTGGTCGGGTTACTCAACAATAAATAACCGCGGTCTCAACGTCCCTGCAACTTCTCTGATTTGCCCTTCACACTGAAGTGACCTATGTCGTGAGAAGATACGGCTTGGGGTCACATGACCTAACAAATTTGTGCTTTTATAAATAAGATCTAAAAGTCTGTGACGATGGTACATTGCTACAGATACTGTGTTTATGGACGTATCCACCGTCCCGTGTTTATGTAAAACACAATTCTGTAGGTTTTACCTGTAGACGGAGACAGAATCCAGTCTCCGAAACGCTGTGTTTTGAAAAATAAAGAGGACAGTTTTTAGATAGGGACAGAACGGTGGGTAATATCCAAATATTTGTGCTTTTGTATTCATATACGACTCGTCGGTTCTCTTTCTTGATCCTTGCGTCCCGGGTTCAGACACCAGCCCTGAGATCTACGCTTGTCTTCATTTCCACCAGTCAGAAGCGAAATGCATGCAGGATTTTGGTTGGAAAGCCAGAAGGAAAGAAACCAGTAGGAAGGTTTAGACGTAGGCTTTGAGAATAATATTAAAAAGGTTCTGGGAAGAAATAGTAGTCTATTTACATTTGATAGGACATACGCACTGCACAGAAAACGAAAACATAGGGCAGCACACAGGCAGCAGGGTGATATAAGCCTCTTTTTATTTTTTCTTCAAAATAAGGGAAATATGCTGAAAATAGTTCTTACAGAAATTGAATGGGGTTGTATGGACTGGACTCATCTGGCTCAGAATAGGGACCAGTGGAGGGGTCTTGTGATTTCGATAAAGTGACGTGAAATTATTGAGTAGCCGAGCGCCTGGTGGCGTCGCAAGAAGGGCTCAGCTCCATGAGGTTACTGATTTAGCGACGCTGTCTCTATTTAGACTTTGTAGCGTCGAAAGGTAGGAAGACTGGTGACGTATGAACTGGATAGGTTTTCTAAGGAAGCGGCCATGGCCTGACCTCAGTCAAGATATTGTAACGGCCAAGATTCGAACCGAAAATATCCCGATTACAAGTCTAGACCTTTACCTCTACGTGTTCTCGCTCGGCGCGAGGCAAATGTTAGAATAGTTCCCTGAATTAGGCCAGTATAGTCTCCTTCCAGATCCTTTTCAGGTGGTTACTGCTACTAAAACTGATAGGAAATCATGTTATGTTAGGAAGTGACTTTAACGAACCAAGAATAAATAGATAAAAAATGTTTTCAGTCGGTATAACGACGGCCTACAGGCTGTAAAGCCGGGGTTCGATTCCCGGCAAGGGCATGGGATTGTTCTCTACTGCACAGTGTCCACAGCGACCCTGTAACCCACCTAGCCTCCTATCTAATTGGTACCGGAGGCACTGTCTCCGGGGTTAAAGCGGTCGGGGCACGAGGCTGACCACTAATTTCCGTCATAGTACCGAGGTAAAGAATACGTAGATCATACATCGACGACCCCTATACGCCTCCATGACGTAGTGCTTGATAAGTTAAGCACAGGGACAAATTTAACTTCACATTTTCATCGTCACAGTTATGAATAATAATTTTCGTTTATACAAACATATACGTGTGTACATTTTTGTGAAAATTTCGTATAATTTTCGATATTTTGTACATTTTAGTGAAAATTTCATATAATTGTCGATATTTTATACATTTTTATGAAAATTCCATATAATTTTCGATATTTTATACATTTTTGTGAAAATGTTGTTTGTTTTTTAATTTCGTATAATTTTTTATCTTTTATAGATTTTTGTGGAAATTTCGTATAATTTTCTATATTTTATACATTTTTGAGAAAATGTCATAAGTTTCGATATTTTGTAATATCCGTATATAAAAGGCGAGGTCTTCCTCTTCTGTGAGTAACTATTTTTTGTCCCGGTAAATATTTAGCGAGTTAACCTTCGGGAGGTTCGCCGAAACGTGCGTCGATTTTCACGCAAAGTGTCCGGTATTTTTGTCCGATTTTGACCAAAAGTGGCTCGTATGAAGAAAATTTAGAAAACAAAATCCCTCAAATATAAAATTTCTTCAGAAGCCATCCAGTTGCCTTCGAGTTGTTTCATTCGTAGAGACAGACCCACAGAGCGAGACGAGAGAGATCCTAAATTCATGCGCCTGCTTTAAGCCCGTCTTGCATGTAAGTACGATTTCGGGTGTGGGAGAGGCATTAGTGAGCATTATCTCAGATAAAACATGAACCATGCCACTGCTGTCATGCTTAGAATAACATTTCATTGATATTATTGCGTGACGTCAGCGCGGTGCTTGTCTCTGATTGCGAGGATCCCTACCTCCCATTGAGATGCTTCACATAGCCCCCACAGTCTCCGCACCTCCCCCCGCTACCCATCAGAATATAATGAGATCTCAGGGTTCTGCTGGCTGTCATGAAGTCGGTAGTAATAATGTTAGGGCCCATTGATAGGTGCCGTTTCCATCTTGTGCTGAATCGTCTCAGATCCTTCCCTCTTGTTCGAGCCTTCTTAAGGTCTCCGTCTTCATGTAGAACACCTTGACGTGCTGTGGTCGACTCTCGGCCACGGCAAGGAATATCCCGAGAGAGGCTTTCTGTTGTTCTTCCTTGGTCACTCCAGGCATCACGTCACAGTATTATCATTTCATTTCCAGTGTAACATTCATCTGTTATGCAACCAGCTGATCACTGCATTTTTGAAGTAACCCATAAAAAGTAAATAACATTTATCCATCCATCCATCCATCCATTCTCTTAGCGGGGGTTGGAGTCCAGCTGGGTCCACTCGGCACGGCGGCCACTGATTGGCCTATTGTAGCCTGCCCCGGGCGATTATGATGATGATGAATTTGGTGGAATGAAGATTGGCAGGGGAAACCGAAGTACTCCGAGCAAACCCGCCACAGCGCCACTTTTTCCACCATAAATCCCACTTGACCAGATCCGGGATCGAACCCGGACCGCCGCGGTGTGAAGCCAGCGACTAACCGCTTGAGCTATGGCGGGGCCCTCCATCCGTTGTTGGGCCTTAGACACTTTTTCAGTTTCT